ATAAACCCAATTACAGAAGGAGTTGACAAAATGATAGAAAAAAGGATTAAAAAGAAGATACAGTATTTTTGGAATTATACTTTAGTTGCAGACATCTCAGAAGAAACTTAAGGACTGGAAAGTTCTTGTTTAGTTTAATATTGCCAGTTGAAGTCTTCAGTGCTTTTGCTAACCAGAAATCAGTCCCTGAAAAGAAACTCGCAGCAATAGCACCCAAAATAAAGAGCCAAAATAAGTTTTTATATTTATTTTTTACAATTTCATTTTAAAACTTAGTTGTGCATACATATTCCAGCTTCCTTCTTTATTACATTGCACTGAAAAGTTTCAAAACACATAAAATATATCCCTTTACTAAACATTTTTTTGTTCTCAGATTACAAAAAGTTTGACATTTCACAGTCACAACGCTTAAATACATTGATCCAAACCATTTTTATCCAACAGACACTTTTCATTGTTTGGAATGCTGAGCTCAGAAAATACATTCCTTAAGTACAGTCACTGTGCCAACAAAGAAGTGAAGAAAATGGCAGCTGCTGAATTAAACTGAAATACAATGGAACATCAAAATAAAGTGGAGGTTGACAGGAAAAAGCCTCCTTCAAGTATAATGTAGGTAGAATTTGGCAGAATGAAGAGGTATTTGGCCACTGTCTACATCGTATCCACATCTTCATACAACAGAAATGCAAATTGAGGAGAATGAAAGAGAGTGCAATTTTTAATAGCTCACAACAATACAATGCAAACCACAAGACAGCATATGGAAAGGGCAAGAGATATGAGATGGAGTTGGTAGGAATGTAGTGTATTATCATGAAAGACAAGTATCAAAGCCCAGAGAAGAAACCTAGAAAGAGTATTTTACATCAAAATATGTAGAGAGAGGCAGTGTTCCCATCACATTTTGACAAGACTTGTAATGTTTTGAAATTTCTTATTGGCTATGATCACTTGTAATTGTCTTGTGTTCCTGGTTTTAAATTTTAACATGCATCTGTTCTCATGGGCATTATGGGAATAATTAAATGAAGCTCTTAGATTGTTTGATAAAAATAATGATATAATAGCTATGTTTAGGAAGAAATTGCAAATATCAGTCAAATTCTATTAATTATCTTGGCAAAACAAATTTTACACCATATCTGTAAATCTAAATTTTCCATGTACTTTGCCTGGAATTGTAGCCATGATAAAAAGATGAATGCTTATTACAAGCTTGTTCCAGAATTTTTGAAATTAAGGGACAGAGGAAATACAGTAGATGAGCCAAGTGATCTACCAAAGTCTCCCCTGTGCAATTTCTATAGTTTTACTTAGTTTATTTGGTCAAACTTGATAGATTTTAAAATTTCAGAGTGAACACTGATCACACTGTCAACTTATCTCAACTGCTCCATAAGATTAATTAATTTCCTGTCCATATTATCTTAATTTATATTTGCCTAAAGCCTTTTCCAATTCTGTCTTATGTGAGATGACCAATATGCAAGTCTTTCCTGATTGTCTTTGGGAAAGGTTCTATCAATGATCTGTTACTAACACTGTTGAAATATATTGTGGCCCAAAGACAATTTCTCATCTACACTGAAGAAACCTTAATATATAATAATCTTTCACCATGAAGGTACACACTGTGTATGCACCTTGGTATTTTTAACCATGATTCTTTTTTGATAATACTAAATTCTGACCTATAATTAATCAAAATGATTTCAGTACATGTAAGAAAATCAATTATATATATTTGTCATGGAAGCATAAGCTTAGTTAAGCTATCCTAGCAGAACTTGCCTTCCCAAAAACAAAAACACCCCTTCAATTGGAAAACAGTTTGCATAGCTCTCTGGTGGACATAGTAAATGTTTCATGTCACAGCTTAATACGTTTCATGTCACTGCATATGACAAGAGATCTAAACCACTCAATGCTACAGGAGATGGTGCAAAAGTTTTGGACAGCCCTTTAATGGTTTACAGGGTGTTTCTCTCTAGGGCCCCCCCCCCCCAACTTTGGGAGGAAGCTTTTAAGAAGAAGTGGAGCTGCTACTCATGCCTGTCTTGATCCTGGCCATAAGATCTTATAAAATCTGCTCATTTAGAAAGTGCATGGCTGTTTGAAAAGCATCATTCTTTCAAACAAGATCAAAAATGTTTTATACAGAGAAATAGTGAGTCCAAAAGACTTCTAAGCAATTAAAACTTTGACTTAACTGCACCTTCTGGAGATTAAAAAAAGAAAAACTTCAGAATAAATCAGAATATATTTCTGAGTTCATTCAAAGGAGTTCAAATCTCTTTATTTATCAATCCTGAGTCGGGCTTTGGTCTCTCTAGAAATACTCTGTAGTCAATATAATATTACTTAGGCAAAGCCATTTAAAAGGGATGCTAGGATGATTTTTGAATCATAATTAGGTGGCGTAAAACAGGAAACTCTATATATATTGCTTTATAAAACAGGCTTTATCCTAAGAATATATTTGAACATCAGCAACGGTGGGTTTATCTATTTTGTGTTTGCTACTTTGATTTAAGCCTTATAAAACACAACAGTAATTTCTACTACTACTACTTCTGAAGAGACTGCTAGTGGAAAGATGTATCTTCCACTGCATATCATGCAAATTATGAAGTATTTGCAATTATACCACTCACTGTGGATGAAGTAATGTGGAATCATACAGAATACTGGAAAGGGATCTATTTAAATGTATCAGTGCTGTCTTTCTAATCCTTCTGATCAAAGTAGCAGTCTAAGTAATATATGCTGAATGTATCCAATTTCTCATATTGGTCCTTGTGATCCATTTTGAAATGCAGCTGTACTGCTGGACTACAGTCAAGACTGCTTTCACATATAGTATATGTTTGCGGTAGAGCAAAATGAAAATTCAATCAATAGTGTTTTTGCATTGACAAAAATCCTCTGTCTGAGTGACACTGGGGGATGGTTTATTATCAAAGGGGTGTGTGTTTTGTGTATGTGTTACACTTACAGCACAGGACGTAGGAAAATATCCTGTGGAAAAGTGCACTTCCTATGATCACCAAACAGAATGAAGAAACAGCACTGAATGTGTTTCAGGGTTCATACTACATTTTGAACTAATATTCTACATTATTATTCTACAAAAGAAAAAACATGCAATAAAGATGCACAAAATGAGTTTGAATGCTAATGATAATGCAGGTTAACATATTACCTAAACGAAAAACGCTCACATGTATATGTGGAAATCCGTTCTATGCTATACTATATCCACATCCCAGATTTCTTTAAGGAAAGTGATGTGATGATCTGAATATATCATAATGAGCAAGCAAGGTAGTGTACTGAAAGTAAATTTAAAAAGTATTGCTGATTGACCAAAAAGTGAACTATGAAACGATTTAAAGAAATTTTAATCTCATATGTTCTGTTGTCAGAAAAAAACATTATTGCACAAATATACTGAATGTCAAAGGCTAATAATTATCTTCAATTGCAGAATGAAACAAGTTGAAAGAGTAACATGTTAAAAGAGACCATTGAACTTAATGCAAAGGTGGTATGAAAAAATTAGTGTAGTAGTGAAAATGGAAGGCCTGCTCCATTGGAAATATACAATATATTGTATATATTCAGGCTGTTTCAAGCAAGATAGAGAAGATTATGAAAGCATGTACTAGAAGATAATGAAAGCATGTACCATTCTTGTTATACTGTAGCTTTTCTTTAGGAATAACTTAACACTTTTGAGATAATTCAAAAGCGGCAATCCACTATTTCTATCAGCCTACTCAGCCAAATTACTACAAGCAAAGTTGTGTATGTGTTGTAGTTCTTTGCTAAGACAATAATACCTGTGAAGCCAAACTTATAATCACCTATAACCAATCAAACAGTTATCTTTTGGGAAGGAAAAAAAGACTCTCAGAAATCCCATCCTAGAAGAAGTGACTTCTATATATTTATAAATGTAAGTTATCTTGCATGAGTACATGTCTTGGTGGAATGCTTCTTGTAATGTACTCTGAACCTATTAATGTACAGAGTGATAGAGAACAGGAAAGAAGCTAGTGGATCTTGTCTTTCTGCATTGGCCCTTTTTCTACCATCTCGGCATACTGCTACCTGCCAAGAAACAGGAAGCGGTAAAAAGAATAATCTGAAAGGGGAATCAGTGAAGGATTAGAAGGAAAAGATAAAACACTACTGTTCTGAAGGAGAGCTCTGAAACAGAAGCATCAGTTAATTAAATGAACTCAAACGACAAAAAAAAAAATTACCAAGTACAATGAATTAAACAGTATGCATAACAAGGATACATGTAGAAGAAACAGAAGTATTCAATGAAAGAAAATATCTAGTGCCAAAGAAACTCTGACTTTCAGGGAAATCTTTCTAAAGAATTCTCCCAGTCTGCTACATCATAGTTATATACACACAAATTTTGATAAACTATAGCACAAGAACACATTTCCCATCCAATGTTCCCCTGTTCTTTCAGGCAGGTGCTGGACAAAGTCCAGAGAAAAAGTTGGCTTCAGTGCCAAAGCAGAGAAAAGGACCTGTGAAGTTCCAAGATTTTTATGGTGGTGTAAAACAGCAAAAAGCTTGAATTCATGTACATAAATAAAACAATCTAGAAGTTTTCCACTGAGAAGCATCAACAGTTTTAGAACAACCAACTAAATGTCATATCAGGTTTAATACCTTAATACCTTATAAATTAAACTTGTTCTATAGTAAAGTCAGCTGATACTGGTAAGTCTGAGGGAAGGGAGTAATGGCTTCCTTACCAGTTTCAACTATGGTTTTCCCAAGTCACATCTCAAGTGGCATTTCAGGCTACATTAAACTGGAAAGATAAATTCTTCTATCTGATTACAATAGGGTCCTCACCAGGAGGGATAGTAAAAAGAAATCACTAATACACTAGCAGCATTAAAGTTCTGGTCCTGATATGCACCAAAACTGTAAACATAGGGAAGCTGTAACTCCTAAGCAGTATCGTTAAATCATGTACAATTCAGCCCCTATATTTCAGGTAGAAATAACCCAGTCCAATCAAGGTTAGAATAGAATATATTGGTTAGAAGCACTGTTTTCATTTCCTGATAGCCTATCATTTCCAAAGATCTTTACTAAAAAGCACACCTTCCCTGTTACCAGTTTGGTGTCTGTTTTACAACAGTTTGTTTCCATGTATTAAAGGAATGACGTAGACAGAAATGTCATCTCCCGAGCCCAGCCTGTCATTGGATATCCTCCAGCCTCTGTCCTTCAGCACTCCTCTGGCTCGCATTACCAAATCCTGAGCTGCTAATGTGTACCTGTAGGTTAAAAAAACAGCCAGAGATGATAGCTGTTGGTACCAAAGTAAAGGGTTGTTCCTTGCTGGGCAAAAGGAACATTTTTAATATCCTATATTAATGTACAACTCAGTCATTGTTATCTTATTTCATAGCCTACTCAAACTGAGAAGAATGCCAGCTCTTTGCTTGTACAAGCTATTTCATAGTAACTTAGCTGATAATGTGGAAAAATTAGCTATGCGAACCATTTCTTAGTTTGATAATTAAAAATGGGTAACAGAGTTCATTTCAAACAGGGGTATTGAGAAGCATGGCAGGAACCACCACAGTGTAAGGCTGATGCACAATAGTGAATCTAGCAGTTGTCAAAAACCATCAACCTGAGTGATCATGAGGCTGAACCATTCCTTCTTCCTAGGTCCCAGGGTGTATCAGTCAACATAACTTCATTCTATGGGTTGAAGAAGTTATTCAAAGATTCAAGATTCAAATTTAGCTAGCTTGTTCATGGTTCCCAACCAAAGCCAAAATAGTTGATACAAGTATTTAGGGAAGTGTCATAACTCAGTACTAGAACTATGATCTGCATGGAAATATCCCCAGGTTGAATTCCTGGCATCACCAAGCAGGGTAAAAAAATGACTGATGGCAGAAGCCCTGGAGAGCTGCTACCAATCTGTGTTCTGCTACCCAGCTGCTACTGGTCTAGTGTGGTATAGGGCAGCTTTCTATGTTCAAAAGCAAAATGATGGACTCAGAACTGAAGATCCAAGCTTAATGAAATGTTGGAGATCTGTAATGATGTCTTCTATCTCTTTAGAAATAACAGCAGAGAAACATGAACTATTTCAAGACCAAAGTCCTAGGAGAGATAAAAATTAACCTTCATACTGTACCATTTTTAAAAATGTAAATCAACCTAATTCTATTTGCCCCATTATGGTGCATGATGGTTTGCATGTGTGCATCTCTGTGTCCGCAAGTCCACATATGTGCATTATGTATGCAAGATTTTTATTGCCTGGTATCACCACGCAATAAAAATCCCTATGTTGTCTCTCCTTTTCATTAAGGAACTGAGAAGAGAGCCTGTTAAAATGAGCACTTGCTGACAAGAGACCAAAGGATAATTATATGGATCAAGAGACAATTAAACAGTTAGAAATATTTTTAGGACAAAATCCTATGACTGTTTGGACAGATAAAAAGTCATAGTATTCCCCATATTCCCACTGGGGATTGTAGAACTTTCTTCTGTTTAAACATGTGGGATTGCACCCTTAGACACAAAATTTTCAAGCACTAAAAGGTATGTAAAGACCTTATAGTACAACAGGTAAAAACTGCTGACTCACAACATGAAACCTTATTATCTTTGAATAATCTAAACAGGAGATTGCTGTTAGTGATGTGTTTTTGTTTTCCTTTTTTAAGCTCATGGAAGCTAAATAGTTATCAGTTGCTCTGGAACTATACAAACATCGGAAGACAATATGGACATTACAGAGAAAATCATATTAATGATAAGGAAAGGAAGAAAGTAATGACAAAATAAAATGGATAAAATGGAGTATGTAAGTAGCTGAAATCAGAGGGATGATGCTCGCTGGCAACAGATGAGTGAGGGCACTTTTAAGGAACTTGGAGATCAATATCAGCAGAGGTGCATTACTGAGTACTTTATTCACTAATGTAGCAAAGTCGGGGTGTAACTGTCAGGGCAACTACAAAATTGCTGAAGTAGCTTTCAAGCAACTAGTTCTCCCTAATGAAGCACCTAATTGAATAGAGCTTTTTAGAATACACATTTGCTCCTGCTGAAGTTTCTAATATTGATCAATGAGTACTGCAAAGACAACTAAACACACTCCTAACAGGCAGTCTGAACTGCTTCTTTCATCTCCAACCCCGAACAGGAAATTGCTAACTTCACTAAATGGATAGGGATACTGGAAGGGCAGAAAGGTAACAGGAAAACAGAAAAAAATGGAAGATACAGCAGGCCATGTGCTGACTCCATGTGATGTATGAGCTTAATGTGGGATAAGGGCCATGGTAATTCAGGTTTCTTCTTTGTGGACCCTGTGCATTGCATAGAACCATATAATAGTAGAGTTGGAAGGGGCCAAGAAGGTTATAGGATTGAACCCTTTAGAATCAAGCAGCTTTTCTCTACAAGGCAACCAAACATAGCCAGAAATCATGTTATTCTCAGGCAATGTCTTTGCTAAACAGGAGAGATTACAGACCTGTGGGGATCATCAGGGTCACAGTTTGGCAAGAAGTTAGTGACTGCTTCTGCCACTTCTTCATTTACTAGAACATCCCAGAGTCCATCTGTAGCTAAGATAAGCACATCATCTGGTCCATGTTCATACTGGAGAAGATCATACACTCTCACCTGAAAGCAACATGAAGAACAAGCAGAATAAAGAGGGAAAAGAAGAGCCTTTACTTGAATGGACTTTATGACTTTTTGCTAGTAGAAAAGCAACTTCATTTTCCAAGCAAACAATAGAAAGTCCCAAATATCACATAATGCTCTCCAAAAGTCCTCACCCACCCAGAGGTTCTACCCTTGGGAAGGATTCCGGGGCTGGAATTCGTTAAAACAGTATTCAGCCGAGAACTGTATATCAAGCATTAATTGCTCACTAGATTCCCTTCTTCAAAACCAATGCACTGGAGGGACCAATGCTCACAGATCTTCAGAATGGAAATCAGATGAAGTTGTCAATGCAGAGCCTGACTGGGCAAGATGCCTGTGTATGCAAAGTTTAAAAGTTTGCATGTGTTCTGAAAGAACAGGATCTGTCTGAAAATATTTTCCCATACCAGAGCATTTCTCATAGCCTGTATGGAGATATAGAACTTACAAGAGAACGATTTCTGACATATTACTGAATGCAGCACCTATAATATACTCCTAGCTCTAGTTGCCAGGCTCTATTGAACTGGCAGGAAGAAAAAGGTCATTTTATGTATTTCCAAGTGGATCTTCTGTTAGACACAGGTTTTTGAGCTGCCTGCATTGTACTCCCCATTGTCAAACCACCTGGCTCTTTGAATTTCAAAAACAAAACCTTCAGGAGTCCTTCTGAACCACTAACCAAGCACTTTAATTACTCAGCAATGACTGTATTTTCAAAGAAGTGAAGTAACCTTGTCACAGCAGACAAGAGGAAATTATTATCTGGACTAGGATTTGGAAACTGTGCACCTGGCCAGTAATGTTGTGCTATCCTTGTAGCTGACAGGGTCAATGCTCCACTAATGTGCTGGGAAACACATTTGGCATTGCTAGAAGAAAGCTCTCTACCTTCTCTTGTGTTGTGTTAATCTTAGAACTCTAGGGCTAAAGCAAGTATATAGGGTACTTAGACATGTAGTTAACTAATGGAGAAACTGGTTTTGAAAAAGAGCAATTTTAAATTCATTAAGGTGTGAGATGTAATTAAGATTGAGAAGCTGATAAGCTAGACATACACTTCATTGATCATTCCTCATTAAATAGGGAGCATGTGTCAAAAATAGGGAGAAATGTTTCAGAAGATCAAGTCCTCTTCTCCCTATTCATGCTGATTACCTGCTAGCACTTCAAGATGACTAGTCTAGTCAGAGTTTATGTATTCTGTGACTTAACGATCTCTAACAAATAGGTACTCCATCCATTGCATTGTTGGCTGTACAGTATGGCACCCACCTAGGAGCAACGATAGTTATTACCTTAATAAATCCCAAAACGTGCATGCCCCCTCTCGCCTTAATGCTGCATCCAACTAGAAATGTTCATATTGCTTCCCTGTCATTCTCATGTTCATCTCTGCAATGTTTACAGTTCTTCTGGATGGCCTCCCACTCTAGAAAATGATCCTACATTTGACCTGAAGTGACGTACAGCAGCTAGTTTAGTTTACAGTTCCATGTGAACAGACTCTAATAAACCAGAAAGTTTATCTTGACAGTTACACAAAGCTGTAATCATGATATGCAATTCTCCTAAAGTAGCGTCCATAAGTAGTTCCCTGCACTAGCTACTTTAACTTTTAATCAATAAAATTAAAACCCCTTTTAATTGTACTATTCCTATTTATATGAGGCGTTACCTAACTCAATGTCACTAACAAACATGAAAATGTCTTTCATTTTCAAGTGATTCATATGTAAACTTTTAAAAATCTAGTCATCAGTACTGTTACATGCAGTGCATTTATTTATTTATTTATTTATTTATTTATTTATTTAGCAAGCAAGCAAGCAAGCAAGCAAGCAAGCAAGCAAGCAAGCTTCTATGCCGCCCATTTGCCAAAGCCTCGGGATGGCTCACAACAATAAATACATACATATTAAACATATAAAAACAATATAACTGGAGACATCCTGGCCAAAGATATAAAATCAATAAATAAAGCTAACAATTAAATGACGTTTAAATAAAAAGGTCTTGGCCTGGTGCCGAAAAACAAATAACGATGGCGCCAGGCAGACCTCTCTGTGGAGCGCATTCCATAGATTGGGCGCCACCGCAGAGAAAGCCCTCCTCCGGGTACTTGCCCTCCTAATATCCTTCACGGAGGGTTCCTGGAGAAGGGCCTCTCCCGCTGATCTCAAGGAGCGGGAGGGCATGTATGGATGTAAGCGCTCCTTTAGGTAGCCAAGGCCCAAGCCATTAATGGCTTTATAAGTAATAACCAGCACCTTGAATTGGGCCCGGACTTCAGTGGGGAACCAGTGAAGCTGACGGAGGACTGGAGTCATTTGAACATAACTCCAAGTACCCGTCAGCAGCCTGGCAGCACTACTTTGCACCAATTGAAGTATCCGGACCGTCTTCAAGGGCAGCCCCATGTAGAGCGCGTTGCAGAAGTCTAGTCAGGAAGTTACCAATGCGTGTGTCACTGTTGCCAGGCAGTTGTTCTCCAGGTAGGGACGCAGCTGATGGATCAGCCGAAGCTGAAAGAAAGCGCTCCTCGCCACCACTGGTCACCTGAGCTTCAAGTGAAAGCTCTGGGTCGAGGAGCACTCCCAAGCTGCGGACCTTGTCCCTAAGAGGGAGTGCAACCCCACTCAGGACAAGGTCAAGGTCCCCTTCCCCGAAACCCGATCCGCCTACCAACAGGACTTGGACATCCGTCTTGTCTGGACTGAGCTTCAGTTTATCAGTTAGGACCCTTTAAAGAATCCTTTTTTCTTCATTAAAATACACCAAATTTCTCTTCTTCATTTCCTACCTTATAACAGTTTTCCAGTAGAGAACCATCTGCCTTCTGGTTTCATGCCTTTTACACAAATGCTTCATCAACTCTTTTATGAGTGAAATTGTTATCAATTTAATTCACATCCTCTAAACTAGACTTCCCCAACCTGATGCCCTTGAGATATTTTAGACTACAATTTCCAAAATTCCTGGCCATGATCCATGCTCGTTGGGTATCATAAGAGCTGGTCAAAACATCCAGAGGGTTGCATCAAAGAAGGCTGATTTAAACAGATGCTGCATTTCTGAACTCACTCAGGAAGTAAGCCCTATTGAACAAAGCAGGACTTGGTTCCAAATGAACATGCATACGATTATGCAGTTATAGGAATTAGGACCATCACTTTCATGATAATATTTCATTTAAGCCAACAGAGGGGCCTAAAAGTTTTAGAATTTTTCTAAAACTTATCCATGCATAGATCAAAATTAAGATATTTTTCAGAGATTTTTCTTTTTTTAAAGAACAACTTCAGTTTAGTTTCCACATTCTACCCCATAATACAGATGTGAATGTCCTACCTCTGGTGATGAGGACAAAAAAGGCTTGATGTAGATGTTTGAGTCATGCACCTTCAGGTCATGATCTCCAAGTCCTCTTGTAACCCCAATAGTTGCCATGACTCGAGCCTGGAAACAATGAGTTGTGCATTAAGAACCTAAGAGCTATGCTCTTGATCAGGCTTACTTAGTCCAGCATTCTGTTTCCGCAAGGCACACCAAAAGCTTATGAGCGACAGAGGAGCACAAGAACCCTTCCCATTCATGTTGCCTAGCAACTGGTAGTCAGACATTCAGGGTGGGTTGTGTATCACACTAAGCCACTCTGCAAATAAGCCACAGTGAGACAGATGTTCATGGAACAACCCATGGTGTAAGTGTCTGGGTGGGTGGTATATTATCTCCCATTTCTGCAGTAGCTGAAAACTTGGAGATGCATTGAAAAAAATGGAAGCCACTGAAAAGTGTCAATTCAATACTTAAAAGAGGATCACATCACCAACAGGAATGTATTGTCTCCCCATCTTTTGGGTCATTTACACCTCTGGGTCTCCTACCCCCTGATCTGCACTGATGGGTTCCTCTTATCTCTTTTTGTTATCTCATCCCAGTCTGTCCAACAGGCCACCTCAACTTGTCAATTTCCTTGGATGTTAACTGCTCCTCTTCACTGCTCCCTTTGACAGGTCATACATGCAAGAACATTGACTGGACAAGACCACTCATATCAGATAGCTACATGGGCACACTTGTAAAAGATAATGATGTTGTAGTGGTAGTGGTAGTAATAATAAATGAATGAATAAATAGTAAGACACCACTGTGCATTTTTGAGGAACCAAAAAATGTTGGGGAACGAGTTGCAGTCCTTTCCAAAATGCTGTTTCAGCATCAGTGAAGGGCAGTCACTGGCACAATCATGTAAAGTCAGTGGTGTGGGCTTTCCAGTCATTCTTGCTGATTATCTCTGTAGCTGACCATAGCAAGCCACTATGAAATTGGTCCTCCAGGTTCATATAACACAAAAACCCCAACATGAGCAGGAAAAACCATACAAGCTATGAGTTTTCTCCACAGCTTGTTACCAAAAATCAATCCTCCATGTGAAAAATGCTCTAGGTTTGGACAACACAACAAAGTAGGTTGTTGTGTTGTGTGAACCAGTCTCTACCTCCAATACAGGGTGCAGGGTGTTCTGAAAGACAAGGTCTATGTGAAACTTCTCAACGGCAATTGTGCCAATAAAAATGCTCAAAGACAGCATCCAAAATAGCTAATTCTACCCTCTCACAAAGAACATCTAGATGCTCATCAGCCTTAGCCAATGAAAAGGTCCAGAACATAGTCTCAGGCACTATAAAAAGAGATACTAGAGCTGTTTAGAGGTTTAAGCAAGAACTTACTCCTTCAATTTGCTGCAGCAACAAATGAGTAACTAGAGCAGACTAAAGTGTACTGAGGTATTATTTTAAGGCATTGCACTCAGAGCAATAGTCAATGGCAAAAATTTATACTAGCTGAAATTTCTGGACATTTTTAAGGATACAGCACATATTTATCCCAGTCTAGAAGCAGGTGAACAACTGTGGCCAGGTGTGCCTTATCCAGGAAAAGTACACTGGAATACCAGGCGAAGTTGGTAAAAGGCACATCTATTCACTTTTACATTCAAAAGCATAGGAGCAGCACTATGCTTGGTTTTTTGAAACCAAAAACAGAAACAGTGATCTTGTTCTATGGTTTCTGGGTACTGTGATTGCTTGTAGGGTCAACCATACCCAGGAAACACAATTCACTGTGGTACACCAGGTCATGAATGCCTCTCAGGCAAGTGAGATCAAGAAAAGGGGCATGCACTGTCTCCCTCTTCATCACGGCAAATAACCCTTGCTGGATTCAGACAACAGAAGCTGCATCCAGTGAGCGTAATTATATGCACTGAGTTTGTATGAGAGCAGCACAAAGCCAATGCAACTTAGTAACCATTCTTGTACAAACAGGCCCAGTGTGTGCTCACCTAATCTCTTTTCTTCTACTCCAAATGCAGGTAAAATCAACTGCCTCAAAACAGGGTTTTCTCTTTTAAAAAAAATGGTTAGTAAGAATATTTACACCACAATAAAGATTCCTTCACCATCTCTCCAGAAGGTCAGTATCATCTCTCTAATATTTTAAAGATTCCTTGGAAGAAATATGAGATTCTTGGGGATGCTTATGAAAAAGTATCTATCTATTCCCAATTCTGGCTCTAAAATATGCCGAGAATTAACACACTGTATGTCACAAAACAAAAATAAATTAAGAAGTAGCAGGTGTGTAAATACTGTTCAAAAATACCATCCACGCACAGATAAGTTACAGCAGGTCTGAATACTGCACAAAGTAGATTAATTCTGAAGGCAGGATATTTTACAAAATTCAAATAAACAGTCATGCCACTGGGAAAGAGTTGCTTAGAAACATACCAGCAATCTGAATTGACCATGTCCTTTTACTGGTGCCACAATCATGTCTATCAGGTTGGTTGTGCTCGATGTGATGCATTTTGCTCTTTCATTTTGTTCTACCCATTTGATTCTACTTTGATAGAATCATATGTCACTCTCCCTTGCATCCCACTTGTGAAAGGAAATTTTACTCTCAAGAATGAATGAAGCAGCAGGTTAAACCCGAAGGACGGACGGACGGAAGGAAAGAAGACAATGAAGAAGACATGTACTTCTTCTCCAAGAGAACTCATCTTATTTCATCCCAGCACACTGAAAATTGTGCTCAAAAGAAACTAAAATCACTATGGCCTTTGTATTTCTTCAGCTTACTGGCTCACACTGAATTTTACAATCAAATTGAAAACTGAGAACTCCATTTCAAATCATTTCTCTCTGTCCTAAGCAAAAATAATTAAGCAGGTGAAATAGGAAAATTGATTGGTAAATGTTATTAAGCCATTCTTCTCCCACCTCCAGAATAGACTGCATTTCTTCCCACTTTCAGACAAGACCTGATTTATGACAGATACAATATTCTTTCATGCTGTCAGAACAATAAAATAAAGGGATAGAAAGAGGAAAATGTGAGACAGCTTGAGGCTAAATTGAGTGATAAACTACATAAGGACCCCATATTCCTTTGAAATGACAAAATACTTATTCCTACCTTCTTGCCTTCTCCATATATAAGGGGAAACTTCAAGTCATCTTCTTCAATGGTTTTGTATGCCCTGAAGGAGGATAAATGGCATTGCATAAAGCTTGAACACCAGAGGTGGCCTTTTTTTTTTTTTTTTTGCAAGTTTGTCTATCTCAAACTTTGCAATACGTTCTTGATTCCCACTCTTCCTCCATTCCTAATTCGTACCTTCTGAACAGATGAGCAGTTAATATGAAACATTACACACACACACACCACCTATTGCAGGGCAGTGCATATAATGCATTACATTGACAATTAAAATAAAGCAAATATTAAAAAAGCAAAGAAAATCTATCAAGCTCGACAATGTGATGAACTTCTGCAAACAAATTCTGCTCTTTTTTTAAATAACAGATAGGAATGAAAATTGGAACAAAATCCTGATTACCAAAATTGTAGGCCATAGCATCCACTAAGCAGTAATACAATTCCATAAAAAATGAAGCCATTTTATTAATTGGTAACTGTGAGAAACAGCAGGGGTTGTAGATAAAGAAAGTAAAGGAGAAAGCAAAAGATTTTGTTTAATCTTACAAAACTAAATCCATTAAGGAAGGTTTCTGGATACAACTAGTTTTAACCAGATTATTTAGCATTCTCTTCTCCTTGACTATGACATTCAAACTTACCAGAAATTCCCTCCACTTCCAAACACCTAATGGGTACCTAAAAGTTGTATCATTCCTACCTGGGAAGAGATTCATTATAAGGATTAGCAAGCAACACACAATTGTGTAACCATTGGCCCATATGATGATTATACCTGCATGTATTTGGTGCAAGGTATGTGGCCAAGGAAGCTGCTGCTGACAGGCATAAAAATGGTTTACTGCACACTTATTCCTATGCAGAGTTGCTTTCCACATGGGAAATGTTTTAGACATTTGAAGCAACCCAGAGAGTTAAGTAGGTGCATATTTTCTCCATTTATTGCACACCAGCACCAATGTTTCTTTGAACACTAATGGATAAGAGTTGGGATTCTGCTGAGGACAAAAAGGAGAACAGAGATGGTTACAGTGGATGATTAGGGAGATGTGGCATTTCCACCAGATACATGACCATAAGTTGCTGTGTTTAATTTTTCTTGCTCAGCCACTCTGACTAGGTGCCTTCCAGACAGACAGAACCACAATACCCATCATTCCCAGCTGAGCCGGTTACAGACTGGGAAAAGCTGTTCTAGCCATTTCAGAGAACTTTTTATGTGGAGTATTAGCATGTGGGGTGCCTGTGCATTTGTGATTAGCTTAGCTAATGATTTGCCTTCCAAAGTTATTAGCAAAACTGGACCTGACAAGACTATGTCATTCTTTTAGACTAGGGCTTCCAAAATAATAAAAAGCAAAATAAGTAGAGAAACACTGTTTGATACACCTATTTCCTAACATGACATGCATGACCTTTTGGCCTCCTCCTTTTGACTTTAAGCTATAAAGCTGTGTTTATAGGGGGAAAAGCAGAGCATGAAATATACTATGTCACTGCTGTCATTACATAAAGACTGACACACACAGAAGAGGAAGAACCGTTTAAAGTACGCCAGCATGACACCCCCTGAGAAATCCAACAGCAACTAACACTAAAATCAGAGCTAAGTGGCAGCTCTCCAGCTTTTGCCTTATTTTCCTAACCACTGCCTCTGAAAGAAATCAATGGCTGCCAGAGCATGACAGAAACCACAGGAAAGGTTAGGCTGTACTATGGCTCTTAGCCTTGAGTCTTCTCAGATTCTGCCATTGCATGAAATGTGTTAGATGCCAATGCAGCATCCAAAACACCAACATGCTAAAGTTGCTCCTTTCTTCTCCCCCTTTACACCCCACATCTCATCCAGCATTTGTTGCACTCTACAGGAGTACTCATTAAAGGATAAATGTATGTGCAAATTTGCATTTAGATTCAAATTGAAAGTCAAAACAGTAGCATTCAGCAGTTTAGAACAAAAGACCAAACAGTTCCTAAACCTGAAAAGAACATCCCAAATTAAAAAGCATAGCAGCAATTGATATTCCAAAAAAACTCTGGAGTGACAAAGAAGGACCACCTATTGGGCCTGTCCTGACCAAACTACTGTAATACCTCCAAATATAAACATGCCAGACTATCTTATTTCCTTCTGAAGAATCTGCCCCAAATAGGTTTTCACTGAATTTCTGACACGTCTCTCTCCCAAACAGAAGTGTCCAAATATTCTCAATTACCAAATTGCCTCTTGATTTTGAAGTAAAGCAACACTGGAACAGCTCAACAGTTTGCATGGTCTATTTTCCTTCATGTTTTGTTGCATCAAATCTTAAACTGACATTAAAAATTCCATAAAGTCTGCCTTAAATTCTTGGTTTAAAGAAAGTACATATAAAAACAAGGTATTGAGCTGATTCACACAATTATCATGGGTTAAACAAGCTGCAGTACATGCCATGCACCATTTGCCTAACCACCATCCCCGATCCATGGCTTGCAAGTATTTTCACCTTCTTAACTATTTGTGAAAGTTATGCCAAATATTGGAACAGTCCTACATGGACAGTAGAAGATATCACAGTTTTATTTTAGAAAAGTGTCTTCCTTGATCAGACCAAATGTCTTACTAGTCCCATAATAGACTCCCAGCACTGTTCAGCAGGATAACCCTAGGAAATGGAGAAGCAGGTCATCATAAGACTATCCATCTCCTCTTATCAAAAGAATCAAACAACCAGCATATATGTTTCTTCTTTTTCCTCTCCTGAGTAATAAAGTGCTAATACTCCATAAACTTGTCTAACATGCTTAAAGTATGCAAGTTAGTTCCCATCACCACATCGTATGTCCTTCAGTTCACTCAAGTTCTTGTGTATTTTAATACATGCATATTCAGAAGGCTGTACTAGTAACTAAAACATGGGTAGTAATATTTATGCACATTTAGCAAATGTGTTAGTAAAATGGCAGGGGAAAATCAATGAAGACTTACCTCTCATTTCCTTTTATGGGAACATTTATGGACCTATTCTAAAGGTATGCTACTTCACTTGCTCACTCCGTAAAGGTTTCTAGTAGGATTACTTCCTAATTTGGCTACCTCCTTAGAATCCAAATACAACTTTTTCCTTAAAGTAAGAAATCACAGAGGAACAGGCACAGAGTGGCTTACAGAATAATCAGGGAATGTGTGAATGAGCAAGCTAAATGCAATTGCATATAATACATAAACATAAAGCAACTCTGTTGTTCTTATACAGTTCATTTTAGGAAGACCGTGTGAAATATGGAACACAAATTTCACATGCAATAAAATGAAAAAGTATCTCCAGTAAAGGGGGAAAGCTTCATAAAGAAACTGAACAAAACAGCATTTGTCATTATTTTTATACCTTTCAAATACTTTAGATGGAAAGGGTGTAATTAAAAGCAGAAGAAAGAAAATACTACATTTAACAAGCAAGGCAAGACAATGATCAGATGCTCTTTTTCAGACTGCCAAATGCAGCAGTATATAATCTGAGTACATGCTACAGAAACCTTACCAGTGTCACAGAGGATGCCAGCTGGGGAACGCCTCTAACTTACATGCTAAGCGGGCTAGACCAGAGCAGAAGACATGCTTGCAGATCACAGACTGACACAAAGGGGCATTCGTATATCTTTTGGGGAGCACGATACCCAGCACTTCCGTAGCACTTCATGTCAGTTCTCTTCTTCATGTCCTGGGTCAGTTTGTTGCATGTACAATTTCCCCACCCCGCTTGTTTTTAGTTTCCCTACTTAATCAGTCTTTATTTATGCAACAGTACCTATGTTCAGAAAACACACACAGAAAAGTTTGGTCCAGTTTACCAAACAAAAGAGAAAACTAAGACCTGCAATTCTGAAGCAATTTAGCTACAACGTCAGTATTTCAACTTCTACTAAATTAACAAAGTATGATAACAAGGCTTCTGGGCAAGTATAAAATTTCAATTAAAAAAGCTTTCAATAAAGAAAGACTGACAGGCAGCAATAGGAAAATGTAAAAGTGCAGTTCACAGCATTGTACACAAACATATACTATTTTTCAAGATAGATTAATGGGGTGGGGGCTGGGCTCCACAGATAAAGGGGATTGATAGCACATTGTCCTCCAGAATAATGCAGAGTTAAGTGCATGTAGGAGAGTTAAATGCATTTATTGGAAGATCACTTGTGTCTGTGAAGATGCAGAGAGTTAAAAGAAAAATTGCAACAGAGAAAAGTTTCTTTGGATGTGATCACTAGAGATGTCTAGTGATAAGGCAGTACACAATTCACAAAAGGAAGCGCACTGCCTGTGTCCATCGGATATTGCTATTGGGGGTCCTCAGTTTCATTTCCAGCTCTCCCCGCTCAGTCTCTGTTCCTCTGGCCAGTGTGAACTCGGGAAAGGCAGAACCATTTGTCATTGCCAGGAGATGTGCTGTACACAGCAGGGTCAAGTCTCTTCCCCTGCTGTTCCTGTAGCTAGAGCTGCAAATAATCTCAAAAAGATGCAGAACATGCATGTTGCGAACAGTCATTTATCACTGTTGAACTGGGCTCCAAACAGAATCCATGGAGCTCCACTTTGCCTGCCCAGATGGAGATGGGAACCAAAAGGGCGTCGCACAAAGGAATCTGGTTAAATTTAAGTCACTGTCTATTTTCTCCCTCCCTCCCCCTTTCTGTCAGCAGCTTCAGACCACTGTTGTGGCTGCACAAAGGTCATCTTTAACGGTATCTATGACTAGAAAGGAGTGCTAAATTAAACTAAAAAATACCTGAATGAGGCATATTATTTGAATAGTCAAGGTGGGAAAAAGCACTTTAATATACCATTAAGAACTGAGCTTACCACTTTGCACTCCTGAGAAGGTGAACATCCAATGCATGGTAATACAATCACTGCCTGAGCTGCACTTTCAAGTGTTTCATTGAACACAAAAACACAACTGCACACAAGCATGTGCAATTTTCAATAAGGGCTTACATGGATTGCATGACTTTGGAAACAAAATGGCACGGAGCAGGTGAAAACATACAGCAGCCATGCTGCCCATTACTCTTTGTGGCCCAGAGTTAAACTGGCAGGGAAGACCACTTATGTGGCTCAGACTAATAAGAGTAAGCTAATTAAACCCAGTGGCATAGGCTGGCAGATAAATCCAGCTCTGGGAAAGGGACACTGCCACTTTAAATACTGCCTTGGGATCTGTGGCAAAACTAATGAGGACTGTCAGTTGGGTCTCTTTTTATTAGGTGGCTCTCTGGAGGATAAAGCCTAAGGTTTCTGTAACAGGGCTTCTGTGCTTGATTCAATAAATCAATTTATATTAAAGGAGAGGGGAGGAGGCAGTGCAGGTCTGGTGTTGGCTTCATAAAACATTCTGTGGCATTTCTCCATCTACTTATCCCCCTCTCTGTCAGACTGCCTGACTGGGCTGTCAAAGGACATTGAGCAGAATAATAAAGAATAAGTGAGTGCCCACAGCTACGATATTTGTTAAACACAACTGGAAAGCTGCACAAAGCAAAGCTCACACAAAGTGCCACAGCATTCAGCTAGGACTCCTGGGAATGCATTTTTGCCAACTGGAATAAAAAAAAAATAAAAAGAAAGAAAAATCTTTGAAACTGGTTGCAAAATAAAAGGCCACCCCCTATTTTTTTAAAAGGGACAAAAAAAGAAAACAAGATTAAGATATATCTATTTATATACATCTATATATCTAAATAGATATATATACAAAAATCAGGCACCCATAGATTCAAAAACCTGCTTTCTTGGGGGAATAAAAAGAGCAACACACCAAGCAGATGCAAGGTATTCCAAGAAGCAGAATTGCAAGAAACATGCAAAGTTTCAAGTTCCTTGCTTCTACATATACTTCGCTGAGAAGGAAGGCTCCTGCTTGCCCCAAAGACTCCAGGCATTTTGGTTCAGAATAAATTTCTTAAAGAGAAATACATGGTGCACATTGGTGGCTAATTGCCTTACAGAGCACAGATCTCCTGACAGCAAAGCAGTTGGGGACAAATAAACTGTGCAGGTTGGTTCATCTGACAACATCCACTGCAGCCTGCCTTAACAATTAACTCTTTACCTGTAGATGAACACTCAATGAAAAGATGTCTGTGCCACCATGAAGTTTTCTTTGGACACTTTTTAAAAAAAAATTGCAAAAAGCATTTTATGAAGCAGAATGAGATGTCATAAAGAGAACTGGCACAATTTCCTATAACAAAATTGGCACAACACAACAAGTACTTCCTGAGTACATGAAAGGAAGCTGCATTTGCTATGGAGGCTGCTCAAAGGGCTTCTTCTCTCTCCTCTGTGGCTTCTCCTCATCCCAAGTGGCTGATGTTGCTACCTTGACCACAAAAACTTGGGAGCCTCAACATGCAAACTGCCCACATTTGAAAAGTGAGTGCGTGCAACAGGGAAACATCTGCCTAGACATCCATAAAGTTCCTGATGTCAAGGAGAAATCAACACCTCCCCCCGGGGACACACATTTATTCTGAAGAAACACAGACTTATGAAGATTGGGACACACGTTTTCTTACTATTTCAGAATCGCTACGCCAGTAGTTGGAGAGATTTAAGCTGCCTGACAAAATAACCATGTGGTGAACATCCAAGCACCTGAATTAGGCTCTCAGTCCTAAGAACACAACAGCAGGAAATATAGCATCAACATATTAGAAGGGTCCTCAAAATGTATCTTGTCTACTGGAACAAGCCCGACAAAGAGAACAAAGGCACCATCATAAGCAAGGATCAAGAGAGCTGTCTCAAAGCAAGAGCAGCAGCCTTGACCCATGCGGCAGATGCATATCCAGGTTGATACCTGCCCTTGTGCTTTGGAAATGCTAAGCAACTCTGCCAGCACTCTGCCAGCATCTCAAGCTAAGCCAAAACACAAAAGACCAAGTGCATTGTGCAAGGCAGTCCTTGCCATAACTACTACGTCCTGTAACTGATCCAAGCAGGCCAAATTCAGACAATTGCTCAGCCTCTGAAAAACCCCAGAATTTCTGCTGCTGCTTTAAAGAACCCTACATCTTAGATTATCTTTATACCGGAAATGAAAATTGCAATGCAGCATATAATGGCAGTGAATTTTAACTCTGATTTCCATGAGATACTGCAATTGTATATGTTATTCGGCTTCTGTTTAACTGCATGCACATATGCAGATACCAACCAATTCAAAGAGGGAAAATGGAAAAGCACAGGTAGGTGTCCTATATCTAACCCTTTCTTCTCATTGCTTTTATTATATGTCTATACTGCCCAATAGCCAAAGCTCTCTGATAAATTTTCAGAGATTAAAATGTTAAAAATAAAAGATTGTACATAATATTAAAATGTACATGCAAACAAACAATGCACGGAGGGAGCGATAGCTCAAACAGTTTTACCCATTAAAAAACCCTTATCATAAGCTGCCAAACACTGAAGAATAAAGAAGGGACATCAGTTGGCACTGAAAAGATCAGGCTGGTGCCAAAGGAGGCCAGCTCTACTATTTGTCTACTCTCTTGTCCACACCAGGCTCATGACACCTGCTATCTGATTCTTCTATCTTGAAATGCCAGGAATGCAGATGGGATATGCTATGTTTGAAGCACATGCTTTACCACAGAGCTACAAAAGCACAGGCCTTAAACATACAAGAGCTAGCCATCAAAAGTTCCACAATGATATTCTATACCCCAAACACTTCCAGTTGTTATTCAAGGCATCTATACTTGCTAGTGCCTTGTATTTGACTAGTACAGGGAGTCTGTGATAGATGAAACTACAGAAAGCGTGCAGTGGTTACGTAACAACTGGATGATCAAGAACATTCTTGGATGCCACTGAATGAACAGGACAGAAAGAGTGGGAGAATCACCAAAGCTCAAGCTAGTCAACACTCTCCTAGTTCCACTGAGAGTGAACTAGGTTCAGTTCCACTGACAGTCCACATTTTCATTCCCAATTGCCTGAAGTGCAAAAATATGCACTTTTGAATATGCATTTTTGAAGCATGCATTTTTATACAAGACCATAAGCACAGTAAGAGGAGCTTGGCCCACAAAATGCGCTTGCTTTCAAGGATGTGGATGGGACAAAACCTGATCACAAATGAACTGGAATGACTATCTTGTTCTTCCCTACCCAAGGTAGCTTTTCGGGAGCAAGACAGTAGGGGAAATGGCCACAGCAACAGGAAAAGGTGGTATCATTATCAGCAAGCATGTTAGGAGGCGAGAGACATGTTCTAGGTCTCCCCATGGGACACAGCCTGTGTCTGGAGAAATAATTCCCATTAAGCAGCACCATCACCAACAACCAGCTGTCCCAAGGAAGTGTAGAGCTTTGTGCAGCCAGTGCTTCTACAGCTATGACAAAATGAGACCTATCTAAGAGTGTTTGAAGAACAGCAACAGTTGCACATAACATTCCTATTTAGGAACAGACAAGCTCATGTTACGGTCAGTGGGAGCGGGTGGTTCCAGCGATGACAGGGCAGGCTGCTGTCTGAGCTTCAAAGGAACTGTCCAGGGTGCTGAGCTGCAGTCCCACCCTTCTCCCCTTCCTCCACCCCTTGAAAGTGCACACTATGACCCAAAATAAATGCACCACCACTCTGACATGGGAGCCACCAGTTCCCACTGGTTACAGTGATCAATTATCAGATCTGAGTTTCTTATTTTTAAATGGAACCCTCCTATGTATTCTTACCAGCCAGTCATGTTGAAGTCTCTGTAAAGCATTCTTTTTCCAACTTCCTTACGCTGAACCCTCCTTGGAAACTCCAAGTGTGTAAATTCATTTCCCAGCAAGTGGGGCTGCATATATGCCTAGCAATTTTCAAACAAGACGAGAGAGAGAGAGAGATGAAAAGAGTTCAGTGACAATACAATAATCCTTGGGACTGTTACATTTATATCATCATTTTCAAGGAAATGTACAGTGTAAAAGCAAGTGCCAAAGCATAAAATCCTAGAAAAGTTTAAGTACAAGCCTCAGATTGCCCCTCTGCTTCACTAAATCATTGAAATTCATACATTCATCACCTTTTTCATTCTTGTATTCTTGTATGCCTGCTATATGTTTTCTGGTCAGTTGTGTACAATTCAGGATAGTTCACCTATAGATTTTGCACTGTTTTGAGATGTGCTTTGCTTTCACTGTGTGGCCATTCCCCCTGCGGACCAGCCCACATTCCGCCCTGTTGTATATGCACCACTGAGAAGGTGCTGGCCTGGTGGGTCATCACTGCCGCCAGCTTTTCTGGACAGTGCTGATCCCTTTCGGGGGAAAAGGAAAGGCTGCATTTGTTCCCACCACGGCCCCTAGAAAGGAATGCCACTGTCAAATGCTACCATGTCAGCCATCCGTAACAACAGCACACATGGATCCACTAAAGGCTTAAATGCGGTCCATGCAGTCCTGACACTTTTTGCACTCCTATATGCACCCCACAAGTGTCTGCAGGGGAACCCACCTGCAGGTGCTTGCAGGGAACAGCTATGCAGCGATGATGCCCTGCACCGAGATGCCCTGGAAGGTGGCACAGGAGGCTTCACTCACCGCTGCCCCCTGCCACAGCAACAAGAGCTGTTCGGGTGGCTCCCTCATGCTCTGGCTTCCATCTTTGCCTTGCACAAAAACCTTGCTCCAAGACCTTGTTCCTGCCTGCCCACCCGACTCCTCCCAGCTCCAGCCTGACCCTGCCCTACCAGGTACCTTCACCTTCTCTTCCCTGATCTTGCCTTGCTCCTGAGCGTGAATGTATTGGAGGCATCTGACCCCTGGCCTGCTCTGGGACTGTGTTTTTGCCCAGACCTTGTTATCTCCCTGGCTTCTCACCTTGGACTCTTCAAAGATGTGCCTCTTGCCCTCTAAATTTGGTCCACCCTGCATGTGGACCTCGTCCTGGCCTTCTCACCATAGCTGCCTACTGCCCACATCCAGGACCTTATGCTGTGATGTGCTACTATTCAGAATAAATCACTTCAATCCACTTCTTGAAATTCAGTGCTAGATCACTGAATGACTAGAAACAAACTCATGGCTTTTCAGCTGCTACCCCAAGTTTCCTTGGCAGAACAAACTAGCAATTTAAAAGAAGTCATTTGCATACTTGTTAACATTGGTAGAGTCACTGAAATTATGGCCAGTGGCCTTTGCCTGAAACAAATCAAGCAAAATCATCCTCTAATGCTAATGCATTAGAACTGCTAATGCAGCTTCAGTCCACCCCTCCCCCAAAAACTCCTTTTATTGTGATGTCTTCCTTAATTTCACAAGCTAGCTAAGGAAATTAAGCTTCCCTCAACTCGAAACGAGGCTGCTGTCCTTAAAGTAAGCTTAAAGAGAAATTTTGTAGATCTATTCCAATGCTGCACAAACTTGTCCATCACTGAAGAAAGTCTGCTCATTAATCAAGTGGTTCTGATGGGAGTTCATGATAAAGTAGGTAACAGCTAATGGTGCAATTCTGTGCAAGCTTAGACAGAAAAAATTTCTACCACTCCTAGGCCTGTCAGGCAAGCTGGGGCATGCTTTAAGTTGAAGAATGTTTTTCTTCTGCACCTGCAAAAGATTGTCCCCTAAGGTAAAAAAAAAAAAAATTAAGGGAAGCCAATGTAAATAAACACCATTTTTCAGCACAAAAGGAGCACTTATTCTGCAATAAAGGGGTCATATTCCATCTGAGAAAAGCTCTTGTGGGATGTATCCCAGTGCCATGCAGAGCCAAAGGAAGCAGGGCCAGAACGTCTTCATATTCTAATTTAAAGTTTTTTAATAAATGATTTATTTTAATTAGTTGTAACAAGTACAGGCACTTAGGTGTTAACTATTTTACTGCTATAATAACAGTTTTAATATATATGTCTTTTTATGTAAATCGTCTTGAGATTTTACAATATTCAAGAGCATATAAGAATGTTTAAATAAATAAATAAAACTCTTACTGCTACTAAGTCTGAAGAAAGGCATTTCAACCTTTTAAAACTGGGGTTAGGTAAGTATAGAAAATGGAAAACAACCAAACAATCATGGTCTGGGGAAAGAGGGTGAGGCCAGGAGGAGGAGAACTGGCCGTCTGTGCCAATTCCAACTAGGATCCATACGATTTGGTCCCTGGACTGGAGGTTCTCCCCTCCAGCAAGGAGGAAAGAAAATGTTCAGAGGAAAGGGGGCTGTTCAATATTTTAATCTTGTTTTCTAATATGTGAAAAAAAAAATCTTAACTCTAACCCACCACACACAGACAGGAACTCCACACAGAAAAGTATAATGTCCAGATTAGCTCCACAGCACAGATTTTCCACATTTTTGCTAGATATTCCCTGTTGATTAACAACACTAAGACTACAGAAGCAAGGAACAGTTATTATTCCTGATAATCTAGGCAACCTGGATCTAATTACTCACACTTTACCACTTGTCTGTCTTTCTGCAGCAGTGCATATATTGTACGTGGAGGGTCCTTGGTCCAATCCCTGGCATCGTAGGACCGGCAAGTTGTGACTGCTTTGATGTTTTGGCTTTCAACTCCTATCTGCCCCAACCAGAAGAGGTATGAAGGGAACTGTAAGCCAGAGCATCTGAAGGGCCAAAAGAAGCCCGCCTGAGGCAAACTGGTAAGGTAAGCAATGGTATGAAAAATCTCTGCTGGAGACCCTTTGCTGGGCAGAGCACGCATTACGGGCCTAAAGCAGCCTTCGCCCACCTGGTACCCCCTTCCCCCCAATGTTTGGGACTACAACTCTAAGAACTTACTGACCATTGTCTTTGCTGGACTGATGGGAACTGAGGCTGAGGGCACCAGTTTGGGGAAGCCTGGTCCAGTCTGGTTTCACCTAATATATGAAATGGATTATCCAATGTTCCCAGCTTCTTGTGAGAATAAATGGAGAAGTGAAGGATCATGTAAGTCACCTTCATCTCCTTAAAGGGGGGGGGGGAGACATAAATATAATGCTATATTGGCTCTATCGGTGCATACTTAAAGTTCCTATTGCATTGCCAACTTTGTAGACAAGACCCTGTATTAGCCACACTCTGCTATAATAACGGATCTGCCCATTACATCTGGGGACAAGCTTACTGCTTTGGGGCAAAATGTGAATCCATATATTGCCAACACCAACAAGTGTATTTCCTTTGGGAACTGCTAAATGGGGGAAGAAATGGGAACATTTTAAAATAAATTTCTTTTGTGGCATTGTTTCAAATGTAGGTATGCACAAAAGCACACTCATTAAAATGTTCATATCCCACCTTATGACATAGACATATTCTCAACAAATAATAAGACAGTAGCATAATCAAAATTCACAGACCTATGGTCTTGCCTTTGGTAAATAAAAAGAAAATAAGCCATTAAAAAAATAGAAAAGAGCAAATTTTTACCTCCAACAGCTTCTATACAGAATGAAAGGACTGTGAGACCTAAGGCAGGGGAAGACTCTTGAAAAAAGTACTAAGTTGAGAGCCTATTAAGAGTGCTTGAAACAAGATTCTGTGCACAACTCAAGGCCTGCACTTGAGCCGTCAGGAAGGGGAAGGAAGCAGCAGCCATCCATCCATCTCTCATGCCGGGATCCTCCTCCACCCGAGAGCTCTCCTCCACCCAGCTACCAGTGGCCACCACTGAGGCCTTCGAAAGAGAGGACCCAGCAGCCCTTCTGTTGCACAGACAGCTTGCTCCGTGCCCCGCTGAACTTTTTCACCAAGACTCTAGGGGCTGAGTTTGATTTTTCCCTCCAAACCCCTTTCTTCTTTTATGTTATGTGGTTTAGATTTTAGGCCTGATCTTTGCAAGTGCTCTGGGGGCCTTTTGGATCAAGAACAGAATCAAACAGACTTCAGATAAATAATAAATCAAACAACGGCTGAGCACAGAACAAAAGTGACTGTGATTTTAAATCAGGTGCCAAACTTGTGAGATGTGCTGCTTATGCAAACTTGGATCCTCTCAAGGCAGTCTTCTCCAACACAGTGCCCTCTAAGTGTGTTGGACTACAACTCTCATCATCCACAATGGCTGTACCAGGGCATCAGTAAGGAAAATCTGTTTTAGGATCTGTAGTCCTGACAAGAATTTCACTTTCCTAGTACTGATAGGTGACTATGTATTACCTGCGCGTTTCAATGCATTTCAGATAGGCTCACTAATGTGATTTCACACTACTGTTATCTTCTACATATTTTCTTTGAACCAGATATCCATAACCCAAGCACATTTTGCTACATATGGAGATGAAATAAACTAACAAAGGTAAAGAAAAAATGGAAGGAAGCAGCCAGTCCCCCCACCAAAAAAAATCAGCTGCTGTTTTCAGATCCCTCCAGAAATAACTTCAAACAACAAAGACCCTCACAGGCAATGTTTTATCTGTCTCCTTCAAGAAACTCCCACCCCCACCCCAATCTCAAGATGCTACAGAGCCCCTTTAATGTAAAAGGCAAACAAATTATTTTAAACACAGGCAACATAAATATTCATTACAGTTGCTTTGTATTTGCCTCTGTGAGTATGAATACCCCTAAAGTAGTTCTTTCCTCTGGACTCTGGCAAAGTAACTAAGAGCAATAACATCTGAGCACAGAAATCTCCCCCACCACCACCTTCAGCAGACACACGCTGCTTTCTCCTTTTTTTGCCAGCAAAGCAATAATCCAAGCAAGTGTTTCTTCGAAAGAAAAAGCCATCTGGTCGGTACAAGTCTGCCCCAGGAAGCCTCTGGCCACAGTAGGAGGGGGCAGGTACAATGATGTGCTACTTTCAAAGTGGAGTTGGGGAGGGGTCAGATTGCGTTGCAGCATCTGCTCAAAGTGTCAGCCGTTGCTCTGTGGTGGAATAGAAGGCATAGGCCAGACTTTCCAGATGCCATGCAAGAGAGATGCACTTTCACTCTTTAAAAAAACAAAAGAAAACATCCACACAATGAAAGCTGAAAGTACAGAGTCAGCTTCAGCATGTCAGCCTTGTGACGACCAGCCACACCTGGAGAGAGCAACACATTGGACCAGTTGTCTGTTCTTGGTGATTCAAAGCATTTACTCTTGGAGTAGGTCAAAATGCACCATGGTTCGACCCATGCAGGGTTTGTTCTGGATTTAGGCACTCTGCATTAGGACACAAGGCCATGTACATTTCTCTCTAGTTAACCTTTCCCCTTGAGCCTTACTCCAAGCTAACCCTCGAGTCGCCCGTTGCTCAACCTCAGTGTTTCAGATGAAAATGGTTTAGGGACACCACTGTAACATCATACATTCTGAGAGGTACATGCCAGTACTACTGATATGAAATAAAGCAGGAGCAGGATTGACTTTATTACTTTTTATTATTTTTATTGGTATTTATTTCCTGTCAGTTTCTCAGCTGTTCCACTTACAGCAAGGTCCCATGCAATAATATAAACTCCAATTAATGCATAATGTTTTTAAAGGGGCATGAAGAAGGATGGGAGGAAGGCCCGTGTTGTGTTCTTTCAAAGTTAACATTTTCCAGTAGGCAAACTAGGCACCAAAATAGGACTTGCAAGCTAGGAAAATACTTCATATATTCATAGATGCATCCAGCTCCCATGCTGTGTAATCACACTGGATGAGACCTTGACAGGGCAAGGTAAAAACAGCATTTGCACTCCAGTACTCCCTTAGCAGAAACACCCACATTGACATGGGTAAATAGTAAAACAAATGAAAATGTATTGAGACCATAAATAAACCAAAAGTTTAACCCAGAAGCAACCTCAAGTGCCCAGGTTCAGACATGATGGAAACATGCTGCATCCATACAGGATCCAAAACTAGTTAGCAGGGTTCAAAGAAACCACAGCACTCTGTGGCTTATTTAAAACCAAACAAGAATGCTTTCTGCCTCCTGCAGTCTCCATCATGCCAGCACAACCCAAGGATTCCCCTGTGTGTGGATCCAGCCACTAACTCCTTCAGATGATCCTGCAGTATACATTTACTCAAACACGGTGACAGACAGTCTCTTGAAGTTGCCCATGTCAGCCAAGGGTCAGGCTGCAAGAAATCTGTTAGTCCTGAAGGTCCCACAAGACACTGCTGCTTTTCCTACCACAAACTAACACAGCAACCACTCTGGAAAGCAGGACCTCAAGGTCAGAATTTGACCAATTGCTCTTAATATTCAGAATGGTTCCAGTGGGGCAAGTCCTCTTGTTCAGATGAACACTGAGAGGACCACAGTGAGCATTCAAAAACACATAGGCTTCTTACCAGATACTGGAGACGCTGACGCTCTGTTTCGGGAGTGAATTCTGACGACATCGGAATGACTTCTCCATTTCTGATTATAATGGCCCTGTAACATCCAGAACACACAGTGAGGGAGCGCATAGCAGTCTCTCTTATGAAATACAGTTGTTTTTAAAACCTGACATGGTTGCTCTTTCTCCTCTGGCAAAACAGGGACAGCACCTTCATAGCTTGTCTTGCCAAGTGTACTGCACAGTGTTGCTCCAGTTTGCTTAGGCCGCAAGGAAGAAAAAGCCCATGCGCCTTTGCCACAGCAGCCCTCCAGCACGGACCGTTGAAGAGCCCCTGGCAAGCAAGCCTTGCTGTGGTATCTGATGTGTGACAACCCGCTGGCTTCACGTGACTCACGCAGGCTGCTTCCCAGCCACTGACTGGCCATGTCATGCCAGAGGATATCCATTTTAGCAGCAAAGAGAAACGGCAGAACGAATTCTGTTTCAACACAAATGTGGCAAGGTACCTGCCACGGGAGACAAGAGATGAGAAGACTGCTGACAGAACACTGCCCCGCGCCTCTCATAACTCTCTACCTTCAAATGCCAATGGAAAAGGAAATCCTCCACAAAAATAGCACTCCTGAAAGCACAACTCTGCCTGTAGGAAAGGTATTCACCGTGCTTTCTATCAAAATTGGACCTTCTTCCACCACCACTTGTGCGATTTGGTGACAGTAGGAGTGAGGTGCACCCCAATCCCTGGAAGTCACCCAACTCTGTGTTAACGTATAAGGTCACCAAGGTATTTTATTGATTGATTGATTGACTGATTGATTGATATCCTGCCTTTTTCCTACAAAGGGCTCAGGGCAGCTTACATCTCCTCCTCCATCTTATCTTATATGATTGGCCAAATGAAATGGGGACAGCCTCCCACATTTTTCGTTTTCTGTGCTGAGAGAGAGGCATAGCAACCCCCCTGCCCCACTTCTCTGTCTCTCTGCACAGAGAAAGGCACTTGGCCGGCAGTTGGAGGAATGGCTCCTCCGACTGCCAGCCACATTGTGCACCTGCTCTGCATGCCATTCATCAATCCAACTAGAAGGACCCCTGGGGAAACTCTGCTGGTGCTTGGAGAAGCACCTCTTCCAAGCATCATCTGGGCAGCAGGCCACTGTTACTTCTGACTGCTGATTCAAGGTAATAGCAGGATTCCTCCCAGTTTTACAGAACTGGAATGGCCTTCCTCTAGGACTGGGAATCCCCAATCTTATCTCTAATAGGCCTCAGGGAGCTGGAGGGAACTTACATAGGGGAGACTGGGCACTTCATCAGGCCAGATTCCTTTTCATGTATTATTTTTACACAAACATGGCCATAATCAGTGAATGTGAGCTCCCCTGAGAGATATAAAGACTACTTTCATATAAGTAAATGAAAAACAGCTGCCATAGTGCCTGCTATAAGTGAGTAAAGAGCATCCAAGTGAAACCTTTGGCTATGTTTGAATGCAACACTAAACCACAGTTTAACATTCTAACAACAAGCCTAAGTGAGCTTGAGGCTTGTGTGGTCTTCCCTTCCCTGCTCTTCCTCCACTGTGGTTGCAAGACTGGAAGCTCCCTTTTCATTTTAAATTAGCTACAATTAAGCATGTCATTCAAATCCTTAAGTGGGTCTCCTTGTAGCTGAAGCTCGTGACAACAAGCCAGCTTCAAAAACTATGGTTTCAAGTTGACTCACTTCCACTAAACATAACCAAGATTAACTGAAGTCCAGGTAACACAGAAAGCTTGGTTAATTTAAAATGGAAGTGAAAGCATCCACACTCTTCCTTGTGACTATGCCGGTTGAGGGGAAACAGGAAAGTGCACAACCCCAAGACTCACTGAGGTTATATATCATAAAGTTAGACCATGGTTTAGCCATTTGAGTTCACCCCAAGATGTAAGGAGGAGCTAATGCATCTCATATGTTTGGCAATGTCCAGTAGTTGCCTTTTTTCCAGTGGAAGTTATAATATGGGAAAACTTCATACTGGAACACCTACCATTCCATACTGTTGTATTTTTCTTTTAAGTTATCTACCTTTTCCTTGAAAGTTAAAGTCTGTTCAACACAAATGGATTTCCTGTGCCCTTTTGAAAGCTAAAAGGCTAATACTATGACACTGAGGAGATAAAAGCTCAGGTCTGATAATGTAATGGATCAAAGACTTAATAATACTTTCAATATTTGAGTTCATGATATACAGAAGCCACTCTCAAATGGACATATATACAGATATCAGATCCACCTGTATTGAAATTTATGTTAATTTCGGGATTTTTTAATGTTTCTGTTTGCTCCTTTGTTTTATCTAAAAACAAACAAGAGACATAAATACTTTAAAAGCCCCCAGATTAATGATTGCTAATATAAAAATACCCAAACATATGCTCTGTAAAGAAAATGCTAGACAATAATGTATTGCACTTGAATTTTAAACACAGGAAGACTTGCACGAGATTGCAAGGTACATAACACATTGACTGGCAAACAAGGCAAACAAAATCTCACAGAATTATTCAAGACATGGCTGGAAAGTCTGTGGAAAGACATGATAAAACATAGACAAAATATGAACCTTGTACCATTTTTGTCTATATTACGGCAAACTATCCTTTACACATATAACTCCACACAAACCACAAGCCTTCCACAACTCCTATCAGCCCCAGTCATTGTAGCTGATGGTCAGGAAAGCTGGGAGCCCAAATCTCTGGAGGGCACAGGCTTAGAATAGGCAGTTCTCTTGTTATTCCTGTATTGTGTTAGACTTTGGAGTAGAGGATGGGATCCAAAGTACCATTTTAGCATATTTTTGCTGTTTTTACTTTCTACTTCAGTACAGCCCGGCTGCACAAAAGGACTGTGAATTTCAAAAGGGGTATGCTACAGAAAATAGCTCCTGCTGGTTTAAGAAACACAAGTTCACAGTGCCCCTAGACAGACAAAACTAACTGCACAGGGCTTTGGGTACAGACCAAAAAAAATTCTTTTAAAAAGCATGCTGGGAAAAGCAGCTTTTCAGAAAGCAAAGTAAAACAAGAGCACTATCAAACCAAACCTCTTAGACAAGGGAACAAAGGAAGAAGATACATGCCATGTTTTGAAAGAAATATTTGTGCGTGTTTGTTTATTATACTCATATTCTTCCTTTTTTTTCCTTTCAAGGAACTCAAGACAGCTTACAAAATTCTCCTCTCAATCTTATCCTCACAACCACATATCATGAGCAGAGCCGGATGGAGCCAAGGGTCAGACTAGACAGCCCGGGAGACTCCTTCTGACTCGCTCTGTTTCTATATTTCTATGTAACCCTGTGAGGAGGGTTAGGCTGAGAGTCTGTGACTGGCCCACAAAGCTTCAAGGCCGAGTGGGGACTAGAACCCAACACCCCGGGATCCCAGTCCAGTACTCTAAGCACCACACCACAGGGGCTCCAGGCTGACAATTTCTCTCAGTCTAAACCTTTCAGATTAAATGTTATTCTGGATAATCACAATAAGGTGTGTTTGAAAACCACTTTCTATAAATCATGCACCCTTTTGAGCAAAATACATGAAGAATCTTAATACAATTTCCCCACTAAGTATGACACTGTTCTTGTTGTTGTTAGTCGCGAAGTCATGTCCGACCCATCGCGACCCCATAGACAACATTGTTCTACTTAGTTTTAAATGCCTCATTTCCAATTCTAGATCAATTATTTCCTGGAAAAGACAGGCATAATACACATATAAAAATGTCAATGATATGCCCATTATTGCCTGTGAACAAACAAATTTAAGAAAAAGAACATTTTTCAAAAGGACTCTCCCTTTGGACAAAGTAACATAGCTCTGTGGGTTCCGAAACTACCACCCAGCATGAACAGCTTGAAATAATAAGTTAAGCACAGTAATGTCCATCAAGACTAACTTCTGCTCTGTTCAGTTAAAACAAAGGATAATTGGTGCAGACATTCCTAGTGGATCGACTGTGCCCAGCATAGATCTGAAAATAGAAATTTAGGAATATAAAATATGCAATTAAAATTGGCAATATTTAGAGAGTGAAATAGAGCTCATTTCTTTCATGAATGATTATGATAATAGCAAGGTATTTGACTTCTAAACCATTAGTGCAAAAAAGCAAAGTGAAAGAGGCCCTTCCCTTAGAATGATCATCTGATAAGACACATTCAGCAAGAAAGGTGAGGAAGGTAATAGGGAGTGACAATGGTTAGGATGAAAAGAGCATAGGAAAGAAGTGCTTCAATATACCTGTGTGCATTAAAATTATCAGAAGTCAGGCATATGGACCTTCAGAGGTAGGGAGTAGCAAGGAAAGAGAGGAACAACACAAGGCAAACGAAGAGGGAGCATCCTAAGCTTTAACTAGAAGACCGGTCTTGTACAGAAAGAAGGGAATAGATATATAGAGAAGGAAGAACAATATCATTTGAATCATCATTTAAGGTGAATTCAAGAAGAACAGCAGAATCCAAGATGCTGTTTCAGTTGAACAAGCAGAAATAGTCCAATGGCTGGCAGCATGTAAAACATGGCATACATGCTGAAGGACAGGGGCCAGGAGACCAAGGAGGAGAACCATACGTCAGTCGTACAAGAAAGAATAAAGTTGGGGTGCTGTCTGTGGACAGAAAAGAGCTAATTTTAGGTATACTGATCAACAAGATGGCAGGAAGTGGCTAGTCCCTAAAAAAGAAGTAACATTTAAGTAACTGGACTGATTTAAGTTTGAAGTTAAATGCCTGTGGCAGTGGAAGTCCAGCAATGTGGCGGGGGGGGGGGGGTGACTTGGATGGTGTGCAGATACTGTCCATGTATGGGCCAAGATGCTGATTAAAATAGATTAATGAGGCAAGAACTTCAGGTCATAAAGAGCCATCAGTGGGGTTATGTTCCACATATCTGTGGAGGGTTCTTTCACTCTGCACTGGGATTTCCAAGAGCTACAAGAGGACACTGGGGAAGGTCCAGGGCACAATGAAAAGGACCACCATCCCCTTGTTCCACCTCCAGAACATTGCGCAAAATGACAGATGAGAGCTTTTCCCAACGCAACCCATGTCCCCTAATCTTGCCATAGGTTTAGGACATAGGAATGATCCTCCTCTACTGCTTAGAGGGCTTAAACAGCAGACAGAAAAAAAATGGGGGTCTTTCACAGCTTCCATCTGCAGCAAGTTCCAACATGGAATGAATGCAAAAGTCTCGCTCCCAAATTCCCTGTGATAGCAGGCACTAATTCCAATGGTCTATTAAACCAGGCTAGAACAGTGGTTTCCCTTTAGCTCTAGTTATAGAACAGAATTCAATGGCAATCTTTAACATGAGTTTTTTCCTCCTAGCGGAGCACTAGTTTTCATTTACTAAAAATTGCAATTTCTCAGACTGCCTTCAGAATTCTCAGAAAGATAACTACATTTGTTTTTCATCTTTGTGTCTCTGTTTCTCCCTGCATCTGCCCACATGTGTGTTTGTACATACGTAAACAGTCACAGATGTAAACACAGACGTTGAAAGTTCCAATCAAACCAAATTTTATAGGTTAAGCCCAGGAACTGGGGTGGCCAGCAATGGGGTGTGGGGGGAGCATGAGTGCAGCTGGGCATTCTTATTGCAAGAGTTAGCAGAAACGTCAATAAACATTAAACAAATACGTACAAAAAGGAGAGCAGAATGATCACCTAAGAGAACTTTGATCACTGGGGCAGGCCTTATTAAAGGCTTTTAAAGAGGCCCTACACAGGCCATGTGGCTTACTTGCCTGGCGAGCTGCAGCCATGACTCTGCTAGGACATTTAAATTGG